CAATCTGAAAAAGGTACTCTCTTGGAGAGGAACTTCCTCCAGGGGAACGTAACCCACAGTTGTTATCTAAAACGTTTAAGATTGGTTTCAGTCGACCACACGTGCCTGGAAAGACGGTGAGAAAGAGCATTTTCCTATTCGTAGATTCAAAAGATTTGTTTTTTCGTTTAGTTTTAACAATTTACAGAGTTTAACAGACTTTTATTTCTCTGCTTCCTCAGACATCGACAAAAGAGACAGTTATGGCAAAACCGCGCTTCACTGTGCCGTATCAGCAGGCCAGGTCAATACCGTGAAATATCTCCTCCACAACCATGCAAACCCTAACCTTAAAGACCACAGAGAGGAGGCACCACTGCACGCCGCGGTGCGGACTGGAAACATTGAAGTGGTCGAGGTAGGGTTTAAATAACTTAAATTACATTTCTGAGAATGCTCGGTCAGATTAGAAACAATGTCTGAAGATGAACTAAGTGATCGAAACTTTAAGGTGATTCCTTAGTATTGCATTGTGCATCCCTACTGCGCACGATTTTCGCGTCATTAGCACGCGCACATGAGCGCGAGCGCGTACAAAACGCAAGAGATTTCCCTCAAACTAAGCTCGAAAGCGAAATAAATGCTTCTTTTCACTTAAACGAGCACGGTGACCGCCACTTTTTATTTAATAATTTCAATGAGAATAATATCCTCAATAACTGAGAAAAAAATTACCAGAAATGTATAGCTATTTTTTTGGCAATGAAATAAATACTACAAAGTATGTTTCCTATAAAGAATAAAAAATGCAGGGTATTTGAAAACATTTTTTCTGAGACGTAGACGAATAAACAATCAAAGAAAGTCAAACTCTGCGTGATGTAACACGCTGCATTGAAAAATAATCGAGCTTATTTGTTGCACACGGAGATTACCAAAAGTCACCTAAATAACCGTATTTGTCAGCATTGTGGCGTAAAAACAAGCATGGTGACCCCTCTTTTTATCACGTTTTTGATATCTTCTTGTCCTGTAACAACAGCATACCAAGTTTCATCGGAAATCTATGGCGAGTTCTTTTACTAAGGAATCACCTTAAGGGCCGTGCTCTTTTTTGTACTACATGAAGTACTTCTTAGTGTCTTTTTTCGTTTTCTCTCACGACTCATGTGTTTTGCATCTGTTTTCTCCGCAGGCATTACTGAATCACAAGACAACCAACGTTAACATCGAAGGACGAAACAAGTACACTCCTTTGCATAGTGCTGCTCATTTAGAACATAGATGCGCCTTAGAAATCTGTCAAAAGCTTGTAAGTATAACGTGAATAACGAGATGAATGCTAATAAAACATATTAGACCAATCGACAATCTGCCAGTACAACTAAATAATTGTGGTAAGATAGCTTGGGTGAAACTCATTTGTTAAAAAAAAAGGTTTGTCCTGAACAGAATGGAACAGGGAAGTACGTTCTGTGGGGCAACTGGAAGCGTTTTACCTAAGAACTATACACATCGAACCCGGAAAACCGCCCAAACTTGGACCGGCGGGCTCCAACGCACCATAGCCATTAGACCATCGCGCCTCCACTTCGCAGGTACAAGTCGTACAAGGAGTTCAATCTCCAAGTGAACAGACACTTTTGCGAGCTGAAAAGATGTCCGGCTATGTAGGTGTCTTACATGTGCAGTCTTTGTATATGCCCGGACCTTGTTTATTGGTGAGGCTCCAAAATTGCAAGAGTCCTGTCTAACTCGAATGCTGCTCATTTTTCTCTATTCACACATCGTCTTAATGCTATTTCTTATCAACAACAAAATAGAAATGATGTTTGTCTTGGTAACTGTCTCCTCAGTTGGACTGTGGTGCCAAGGTTACGGCCAGAGGACTGGATCATATGACCCCGCTTAGCGTGGCTACTCAGAAGGGGTCAGCGGACATCATGGCCTTGTTCTTCAAGAAATGTAAGTCATGATCAGCCTTATCATCCGTCCACGAGGCCTTCGGTACTGATGTCAAATTCCGAGATGGCGGTTATAGTCCCGGAGACTGGCTCCATCTTGGATTCCGACTTCGAGGGGACCCTGGGAGCGAGATTACCTAATTTTTTGCAYCCACAAAAATATCTTCACTCTCTGCGGAATTTGCACAGAGTGAACACAACTGACCTAAGATTACGGATGAAATATTCTTACCTCCCTTTAGAGGGTATGTGTATGCCAACAGAAGCCATTATTTAAACAAGCTTGCCTTCAATCCTCTGATTCCATATTTGGGCAAGGAAAATCCGTGGGTTCTGATCTGTCGGGTAAAAAACCCAGCATTGTTCTGAACATATAAAAGGAATTAACACGCTTCGGGGTTATATGCTTCTGATGCCGATCGTTGATGTAGTCTTTGCCATGAAGAATACCCAGATCAGATCAATGAGACGGGAGCTCCTACCGTTTTAATTTATCGTCACAACCAAATATTTGGAAAAAGTTCCGAGTCAAGGGAGAACCTTGTAGCTAATTCTAAAAAAACCTATTGTGTTGGGGGATATCTCTGCAATGATTTAAACTCCAAAAAAATCATGGTAAGAGTCAATTTGACTTAGAGAAATGTAACAAGCATTTCAACGCTTGCGCATTGGAGGGCTTTCTTCTTTTGTCGCTGAAACTAGTCTCTTTGTTTTATTACAGGTAACGAAGTCCAGAGAGGCACAAAACAGAAGCTTGACCTGATTTACTGTGTCGACTTTGAGGGGAGTTCTCTGCTGCATCTCGCAATAGACAGCGGTGTTTTGAAGGTAACCTGTAAAAAAAAAAAAAGTTATTTCTTTCATGTGAGAACTTCTCGATGTTCGAGTTACAACAATTTATAGACCCTATTCATAAATGGCTGCCAATGACAAATTCTGTCCTGGTGTTAAAATTAGCCCAGCTAATCTCGTTTTTGAGTTTATAATTTAAAAGAATTTTTACCCTCAAACCAGGTTAGTTGGGCTAATTTAAATGCATACAAAAGAATTTTAAATTGACAGCCATTTATGAATAGGGTCTATGTGTGCACCCTTTTTGTTATATGTTTTCTTCAGGCGGTTAAGTTGTGTTTGGACCACGGTTGCTCTGTAACAGCTGTCAAGGTAAGTTAAACTTTATGTATTTCAAATACCATAACCGCAGAGTAAGTTAACTCTACGTTGAGCCGAGTGGTTTATCACGGCATAATATGGTATGGCAAGCATCTTAGATTCGGCAGCGTCCTTTCGTTCCTTCGCAAAGTAAAGGAATGAATCGGTTCCTCCTCGACTTAAAATGGCAACGTGCTTTATTGAATGTGGTTTTGGTTCACTGATTTTCTTTTCAACTTTATATTTTTCAAAATAGAGGTTAGATGGTGGTACTCCAATCCAACTGGATTGTCGTCTAGGTGCACCAGAAATCCTTCAGTGTTTATACGAACATGATCCAGCTGCCTTCCAACACGCTTTGGTGGATAAAGAGGTCATGACACCCTTGCATAGGTCAGTAACAATTCGAAAAGCAGCCTGTTTCTTGATATGCTTGTGCCCATTGGCTAAGAGTATTTTAGGTGGAGTATATATACTTTTGAAAAAGGGGAATTTTGTGTAGCAGCAAAGAGGGCCGAGAAAGAAAAAACCCAGCATTCATCGAATTTTGACCAGTGACGAGAGAATTTGCAATTTACCAGCTCATGCATCACCAAGGTCATAGGTTAGAATCCTGTAAGCTTCGTTTTCAACTAAATATTAGCTTACTTCATCAAAGCGAACATCTTTTCTGCTTTGTGTTTAGAATTCTCCCCTTTAATATCTTCATAGTCAGATGGTTACGTTAGCTGACTGACAATGTATACCGTTGGTCGTTTCATGTTACATTAGAATATAAACGGTGGTCATTCCACTGAAGAGCTGAATTTAGGAAGCAATTCCTTGGCGCAACGATAACTCCCGGAAACTTCTGTTGACTCTTGAACTTATCTGTTCCAGAAAGAACGAAGCATTCCGTGGTTTACGAAGTTCATCGATTTTTTTTTCTTTTTAGATGCTCCATGTACAATCATGTCAGTGTAGTTCAGTTTCTGGTGGATCATGTAAGTATATCAGAACATTGTTCACCTGAAGGCCATTAAATTCCAAGTGCTTTGAACAACAGCCTTCAATTGCTGGTAGAATAGACGGTCGCGTCATACTTAATGTAGTTCATTTTCGCTAAGCCGCCTCTTCCGCAAAAAAAGAATAACGGACAAACAATTACATTCCATTTCTGATTTGTTTAAAACTTAAACGCTGAGAAAGTGCATGCGCAGTGCCGGAAAAATCGAACGGCAACCGACCAGGCCATTTTTCTTCACGCGTATGCTCTGTACAAAAGAGGCAGCTGCCACAGACTTGGTCTGACTTGAAATTCTCTATATTATTCTTTTTGTGCAAGTTTTGTTCTTAAAATTTGGATTCAAGACAATCATCTGAGCTACTCTGGTCTCCTTACTCAATGCCTTTGGGTTTTTACTAAAGATGCGTTTACAAACTGTAAACTGAATAATGTTCATGCATATAACTCGTAATGAGGTATTATTGTTTTAAGGAAAGTGCCTAGCTATGTGAGCTCCAACACGCAGAATTGATTTCAACTATGAAACTGTGTTTTTAATAGATTAGTTTGGGGGTAATTCGATCGCTGTTATAATGAAACTACATTGTCTTGGTGAATCCAGTTATGCCTTAGGATATATTGAAAATTGACAAAGTCAGATATAATGTAACAACACAGTGACTGTATTCTATTCAACTGTTGAGTGATAGTTATGCATTTTCTTCACAGGGTGTAGATTTAAACCCACGTGATCGCGAGAAATGCACACCGTTACTCTTGGCCGCGGCTCATGGCTGTTCAGCGGTTGTGTCACTACTATTAGAAAGTGGTGCTGATGTCACTTGCGAGGACGAGAAAAAGAGAACCGCGCTGCACTGGGCAGTAGGACAGGATAGAACTATTGAGCGACTTTTGAAGGTAAAGCTAAATACGTATAAGCTCAAGAATGTGTTCCTGCGAGTTATATTTGCTGGTGTACACGATGTAATATGACACTTTTTTCCGAGATTTGTTGAGGAAAAAGGTATCAAGTAGCTAGCTCATATGCGCGGCTTGACTTGAAATATTACTACGGTTTCCAATAAAATGTTGTCAAGAGAACTTTCAATTGGTTCATGACAAGCCTATATAACTTTTGAAAAACTTGGTTAGGAAAACGTGTTGTTCGTTTCAACATCAAATCCAAATCGTGTTCTGAGGCGTCAGTAAAATCCTTGCCTTCAGTTGTTTGTACCACGTGTTTTTTGACTGGTTTGACTTGTTATTCAGGATCCAAATGTACAAGAACTGAAACTTGTGAACCAGCAGGACAGTACAGGAGCCACAGCTCTCCACTATGCCGCACAGGGTGGTTTCCTTAAGGTCAGATTCAAGATATTAAGTTTGCTAATCTTTCCAGCGTTTTAACGTTGAGTATTCCTTTGTGACTCAGCAAGTTATTCGATTTTTTCTGACTTTTTTCCGGCATTTTTTTTGTTTAATATAGATTGGTATATCTGAGTTGACCTCTCTGATTATGAACGATTTTATTGTTTTATTGATTCTATTGTTTCACCAATTCGTCTGGTTTATATTTTATGTTTTAACAGTTGTAGATACTATATGATTATTTTAATGTAGTTAAGTGTCCCCAAAAAGACTTCATCAGTACGCTAGAAAACTTGACTAAAATACAATTCTTACTTATTTACCTAGTTTCGTCTCAGGTAGAGCTTAAATTGCTTTTTCTTTTGAAATTTTCCGAACGAAAACCCTGTATTCTTCATACAAGATGTCCTCGAATTTAACTGGAATTTTCTGTTGTCCTTATATGTGACTTTTATGTAGAGTGTGCTGTTACTCCTGAAGAACGGCACAGATCCAAGTTTGAAGAACAATAAACTGGAAACTCCACTCCACCTGGCTGCCAGGTACGATCAGTGAATTACGATAACAAGAAGTGAAGGATGGGCAACTACTTTTGTGATGAATCAATAGTTTTAGCAGTTGAGACTTCTTTTTCTTCTTATCTGTTGTTGTCATTTGATATCTTTAGTCATGGCTGGCTACCTATTGTAAAAAAGTTGATGGAAGGTCGACAGACTCGTTTAATGAATGTAGGTAACTTAAGCGATCACACCCCACTCCACTTGGCGGCTTCTAATGGACAAGACAAGGTTGTCAAGTTTCTTCTGGACAGAGGAGCTACTATAGAAAGGTATTTAGCCTTCCAATAAAAAGCCTTTTATTTCATAAGAGCATCTTGCTTTTTATACTTGAAATGCAGACATATGAAAAGTGCTTCGGCACAGTGAACTGTCAAAGCTCAAATAATTTTCTCAAATAATAATTTAGTTTAATAATTTCAATGTTCCCGCATATTGACAATATAACTTGTTCCTTTGACAAACGACTTATTTCATTATATATATATATATATACTAAATTAGTATACTAAATTGGTCAGCACTAAACAATTATCTTTCGTTAATCAGAACAAGTTACTACAGTCAAAGACGTTTTGCCTCGTGGTGATAAGTTGTTAGGTTCCATGTTTCTATTGTGGCTGATCTACAACATATCCACCGTAGGTTCATATGTTCTTTTCTAAAGACCCACAGAATAGTCTAAACCGTTTTTTAGAGCGCTCAGTGGTATTTCCGCAGGGATACAGACGGTCGAACTCCATTACATTTCGCCGCAGCTAAAGGATCATTAAAGAGTGTTCAGTTGATCTGCACTTCAAACCCTAACTGCATTAACGTGGAAGATAACGCAGACCAGGTGAGGAACTGTGAGGTTAATTGTAGAGGACAAAAGCCCATGTTCGATAGATCAAAATTCTAACTTATAAATTCTGAGCAAAATTAATATTGCAAATTTTCTAAGAAAGCCTCGGTGCCATGTTAGAATTTTGGTACATCGAACATGAGCTATTGACGACCGTTCGATATGACTCTTAAAGTTTAGAGAGAGGCGGACGTTTTTCAAATTCACGTTTTTCAAATTCTTCTTTCCAATCTGTCTCAATCTTCTAAACTTTTGTAACATTTTAATAGCGCTTTTCTAAAGCAGTGTATCTATCGTTTCATCCAAGTTTAAAATCTTGGCTGAAGAAGGAAAGAAAAGAGATCCAGTAGTAGAAACCGTGTTCAAAGTAGAAATGTCAAAAATCTTCACATACATTTAAACTTTCTCCTCTCCTCTCCTCTCAGGACACCGCTTTGCATCTGGCAGCCAAAAATGGTCATGCAGCATTAGTGACGTATCTCCTATCCCATGAAGCTCAGAACGTGACGTACAATGCTTACAACCAGAATGCATTGGATGTTGCAATTGAAGCTGGCAAGGAACCGGTGGTCATGTGTATAGCAGAACACACACGGTGAGCATGAGACGGAGAGCTGTTCTTATGGTACGATAAGTCCAAGATGTGAAATGTGGCTTATTGTGGATCATTGACGTAAAATCTCTTGGCAATGATGCTTGCAAGAGGGGAATAATTATAAAGAAGCATTTTTGGAGTTTGCACATGTCCGTCATAAAATGTCACATGCTAAGTAATGACGCTCTGCGTAATATCTTTAATGATGCTCCGTAATATTTGAGGAGAACAGTTGATTATTAAGTCACTATCATCCACTTATAACATAACGACCCTTCCAATTAACGAAAACGCTTTTTTAAATTTAATTTAAAACACGTCGATATCCTCACCTTATCTTCATCTGTTTGTGACACTGTGCCTTAGAAATCCAAGAGAACCCAAGCGTTTCTTTCTTTCCAGTTCCCTCCCTCAGCCTCGTTCCCTCTCCCACCTTATGAAACAGAAAAGCAATTAAAAACGGCGATTATCTAATTACGTTTTTTTTTCAGGTGGAGAGAAATGTGTCATCATGTCGAAGAAGGCCTCACTCAACTTCAACGTCTTATCATGAAGATGCCGCTGGCTGCTGAGGTCTGCTACGCACAATTTAACTATTAACTGCTGGTCACAAAAAAATCCTCTGTGTTGAGTTTTTAAAATGGAAATTAGGGTCTCCATCTCAGAGCTATACTCTAAAACTGAAGAATATTCCCGGCTTGCCCATTATACATANTAGCAGAACACACACGGTGAGCATGAGACGGAGAGCTGTTCTTATGGTACGATAAGTCCAAGATGTGAAATGTGGCTATTATGGATCATTGACGTAATATCTCTTGGCAATGATGCTTGCAAGAGGGGAATAATTATAAGGAAGCTTTTTTGGAGTTTGCACATGTCCGTCATAAAATGTCACATGCTAAATAATGAGGCTCTGCGTAGTATCTTTAATGATGCTCCGTAATATTTGAGGAGAACAGTTGATTATTAAGTTACTATCATCCACTTATAGCACAACGACCCTGCCAATTAACGAAAACGCTTTTTAAAATTTAATTTACAACACGTTGATATCCTCACCTTATCCAAACCCAAGCGTTTCTTTCTTTCCAGTTCCCTCCCTCAGCCTCGTTCCCTCTCCCACCTGATGAAACAGAAAAGCAATTAAAAACGACGATTATCTAATTAAGTTTTTTTTTCAGGTGGAGAGAAATGTGTCATCATGTCGAAGAAGGCCTTACTCAACTTCAACGTCTTATCATGAAGATGCCGCTGGCTGCTGAGGTTTGCTGCGCATAATTTAACTATTAATTGCTGGTCACAAAAAAATCCTCTGTGTTGAGTTTTTAAAATGGAAATTAGGGTCTCCATCTCAGAGCTATACTCTAAAACTGAAGAATATTCCCGGCTTGCCCATTATACATACAAATACACACAAGAAAGGACAGCGCCTTATAGTCAGAACTAGCCCGAGCCACTAAAGCCACAGAAAAGATAACTGAAGCGTCCAACTAATGACTAGCGCGAGAGAAATAGCATTCTCAAATTAATTTAGAATTCATCAAGTTAAAACAAAGAAAATCACAACCGTGAAGGAGGTTTAGATACTAGGCTCGATGTCCGCCGCTTTCTCGAGTCCGGTCTACGTAGTTCGGGGGAGGATCGCGGGCTCCTTTCCCGAACAGCGGCTGGTAATCGAGCCTATTTGGATACCCGGTCTTAATTAACATAGATTTTGACGATTTTACTCGTCCGTTTACTCGTTGGTTTTTTATTTCGATTGAGAAGATATATCAAACACTCCAGAAAGTGTTTCATCGGCTATCCAAACACCTGGAATTTTGTCAAAAATACTCCGCTGCGCGTCGTATTTTCAACTCTCTTCTCGGTGTTTGGATATCTCGATGAAACACTGTCCCTCGTGTTTGATATATTACTTCACAATACATGGCAAGTCACTATTCAAATTGTTAACTGATAGGCGAATGGCAGTATTTGTCGTCTCAGAAATCTACCAGACAACTAAATCACAACGTTGATTGAAAGTAACTGGATTACTGGTGTTTTTGTGTTTTATGTTTCAGAAATTTCTTGATAAAAGTGTTGAAGAATCCGGTGATAAAGAGAAAAGTGAAGACTATTCGGTAAGTCTCCGTCGTAACAAAGATATTCACCTTGGTTTTTTTATTGTTATTTTCTGTTAGCTTTAACCATACCAGTCCTGGCCCAGGTATTTCAAAAATAGATTTACGCCGTTTCGTTGTATAGTTTTTCTTAAATCCCTCGTGCAGAGGAGTCTTTTCGAAACCTCTAAATTACTCTTTGAGTTCCCGTAACGTAAAAGAGGAAGGGCACCAATATTGTAGAAATCATTATTTGAAATTAACTTCCAACACTGATGCTGATTCTGTAATCTTGCTTCGATGACGCCTAATGCCAGCACACAAATTCTCCTTGTCTTACTTCATACGTTAGGATAATATGGCATACATCATGAAAGTATCTCCTTGGTGATATTATTTTCCACTGAGGCCATCCAACGTGCATTTCCCGTCTGTAGGTGACGTACGACTTTATGTTGTTACAAGGAATGCCGGATCTCAGGAAACACGATCCAAAGAAATATCTGGACAGTTTACATGTAAGCTTGATTCGTTCCACGTAGCCATCAAGGATAAGTATTCCTTTGAGAAGTATTCTTTTGATAAGCATTTCTTTTGAACCAATCACAGCACACTTACGTGGTTTTCTGTTAATTTCTTTGCAGACCATGGTCAAGTACAAGCGAGTGAACTGTTTGTCACATCCTGTGACAGGAGCCATCATGAACATCAAATGGTAAGACAATACAAATTCCTAGATGCAGCTAAACAGTAAAATGTAGTTGCCAGGAGACTTGCGCAATGTTCTGTTTAAGTATCAGTTTAGGATTCAATTCCAGTACCAAACAGCAGCCAATGAAAAAGCATTACATTTAGTAAGAGATTATGTTCGATAAACAGTTTCTGCTTCAGAGGTAATTACTTTTGGAAATAGAGAGCACTTCCGTGTTTATGTCGAGGTAAACAAACACCAGTGGAAGTTTGGGAGAACGAGAAATGCACCTCGGAAATCTTGAACTCATAATCTGCATTGTAAAATGTATGTACGGTTTTTAACACTGGCTTTATTAAAGGTTGTTTTCTAAATTGTAAATTCTAAATTGCTGTCTTAAGGTGTAGTTCACCATGTCTCCGGCGTTCCCATCTTTAGTCTTCTAAAACTATGTTTTTAAAATTGAGAAATCCTTGCACAAACAGTCATATTTTATTTTTGAAGTACGAGATCAATTTAAGAAGTTCGGAGGCATATTAGCAGCGAAACAGCGGTTCATGAAAACACTTTTTCTCACATTTCAGGCGGAGCGTGGGTTGGAAGGCTTACGTAATGAATCTAGGATTTTATATTTTGTTTTTGGTGATGTTGACCACCATGACCGTGTTACTGGAGAACAGCAGCAAGCAACAGGATGCTCTCCTGGATATCCCTCGCTTCACGATTGTCGTTATGAGTCTGTTTCATCTGCTTAAAGAAATTTTCCAAATATGGGACGAGGTGAGACACTGCTGTAAATCACACCATGAGAAACAGATCTAAAACATATAAAAGTCGCTGGCAAGAAATTCGAACGGGGCTGGGAGACTGTAGTTTGACATACTAACTGGCCAAGTGCATGGTTAGGGAGCCGAACTTGAAATCCGGTGGTGGAGGCTTCAAGTCCCGTTCTGACCACCAGCTGGTGTTGTTCTCGGTAGTCCCGAGTTTAACTCCTCGGTCAGGTTTGTAAATAGCCAACTGGTCCGTCTCCTGCCAGTTGGGATTCTTAACCACGTTATGTTCATTTACGTTGTCTTTGTTTCATCATTTGTTTCTCTTGACCCTGATAATCCCCATCGAGGGAGTGGCCAATTAAGATATTTCTTCTTTCTTTCTATGTAGTCTCACTGAAGAAACACGTAGCTGTTTAATTTGAATCCATTCATCAATCTCCCAAGCTTTGCTCTGAAATTCGTTATCAAAAATCACGTTTTAAATCACATTAGAGCAATTCTCCAATAAGTGTCGGAGTTAATCCAGACTTGCTATGGTTTTGTGGTTCTACGCTTGCATTGGTGTTTGATTTAATTCCCGCAATATACTCATCCAATCAGATACAAGAATAAAGTCAATCGCGGCATAGTCACACGCATTTTCCCGAGCTTAGAGCCGATTTCATTTTTTTGCTTCGTGTTCTCGCTGGTTCATTATTGTTATAGAATATACACTGCGTTGTCTAAGTTTCAGTTTTTAGACAAGACCCCTGTATGTATACTACATAAACGCACTAAAAACTACAATGAAAGCTTTAGCAAACTGATTTCTATCTGCTTCCTTTTTCTTTCAGAAATTCAAATATCTATTGAAGATTGATAACTGGATGGAATGGTTTTTGTACATGACAAGTCTTGTGTACATGTTTCAGTATGGCGCTTTCAAGGAGAACGATAAAGATGGATCTGCTTACAGTCTTAAGGCAGTAGCTGCCACAGCTATTTTTATCGCTTGGGTTATTTTTGTGCTTTATTTAAGAAGGTAAACATCTTATCTTTAATAGGAACTAACAAAATTATTGTTCCACGTTTGTTATCAAACTTATGATGAGAAAGAAGCAAATTCGTCGAAAGGTGATCAATACAGACCACCATAATGTGCGCGAAAATGGTCTGCGAAAGCTTTTAGACGGAATCAAAATAAATCCACAATAGTTTTAGTTTTCCCTGCCTGATCAGTGTTGCTATTTTTCGTTTGGACACTATTTGGCATTCCTTGGTAACAACGTAATAGGAGAGATTGAATATTAGATGTACCGTATTTAACTTACTCGAAAAGCCTCGAAAAGGCGCTGCGGTAAGTGATTATTAAATTTGACCTTTTGATGCCGCGCTTATTCAATTGTGTAACAACTTTTGTTTTAAAATGAACCCTGACATGTCTCTTTTGTTCACTCTAGAGACGATAGCGACACCAATCAAAACTCAGTTTCAAATATCATTGTCATTTTTTTCACCGTGAGGCTAATTTACTCGCATGATCCATTGCACTCTACTTTGCCGTTTACCGGTACTGTTTATCATTTTTCTTTCAGATTTTCTACGTTTGGTATTTATATTATAATGATGACAAATATAATAAAGACATTAGTGAAGGTAAGACTGTTAAATGTTTGGGTTTGGTTCTCAATAGATACACGCACATATTGTAAATCTGAAGTCTGTTTTCATTCCTGGTAGTCTTGCAACTTGGGCGTCCGTGTAACAGTAAAGAGCGTTTTCAGTCATGTGGCCAGCAGTCATGCAAACTCATTGGAACAAAAAGAGTTTTTACATGAACTCTGGTTTGGGGTTTGGGACACTAACATGACCGCCATTTTATGTTTTGAGAAACCAATATGGCTTCCGTGACGTCATGTGAAATCACTAAATGTTTTAGCCAATAGCACAACACGAAGAATCAAGCCAGTGTTCTAGACCAGACTGTTTGATCTTAATTTACTAACCCCAGGGCTTCAACCTCTTACTAATTACGACATTACAATTTGTAAATTTACTTTATCGCTTTTTGCCTCTTCAGATCATAATTCTGTTTATTCCTTTTGTAATTGCCTTTGGAATTCCGTTTTTCCTTTTACTTCGCGAGCGATTTCCGGTAAGTAGCTTACACATCAGATTTTATTTAGGATTTTATTTAGGATTTGTCCCAAAACCATGCCGTTTTCACAAATTAGGAGATTTAAAAAGGGTGCAGATATCGAGTCATTCAGAACGCTAATAGGCCTGAGAACGCCTTCATCAAAAAGCAAACGCATTGAAAGCTACTTTACTCAAACAGGCCGAATTCATTTCTGAAGTGCTAGACTACTCAAAGTCAAGTTGATTTTACCGATACCATAAACAATAGCAGATTAGCTTTTGACCAATCAGAATGCGCCCATCACCTTATTGAACACAGTAATTAATTTATTTGCAGGGTGAATCGAATGAAGCAACACAGTACCTGTTTGATCATCTTCCATACTCGCTTTTCACAACCTTCATGTTGATTCTTGGTGAGATGAAATACCCGCACACAGTGTTCAAATATCAGCCCCTACCATACCCCGGGATAAGTTACGTGGTCTACGTCATCTTCTGTGTGTGTATGCCGATCATCATCAAGAATCTCTTGGTAAGTACAAAAGTGTTAAGGCGCCTTCTTCTATTCAAAAGGTAAAGTCAGCTAGCCTAGTGCTTCAAGAAGTCGTTGAAGCATCTAGAAGTACTCTGACGCCCATTGAGGTTACTCCTAATATTATGATGGGTTGCCTTAAGAGTTCCCGATAGTTAAAGGTAAAGGTTTTGCGTCAGGCCAGTGGCCGTAGCTTATTCCGGTTTCTGTAGCAGGAAGCGACTCGGAGTATTTCTAGTCCCCCGTGAATGGGATGCTAGTACATCGCAGGGTACCGAACCCCTCCGCTCCCCTCCCAACATTAAAATTCGCCGTTACCCATTTATATGCCTGGGTGGAGAGAGAACCTGTAAGAGTAAAATGTCTTGCCCAAGAATACAATGCAATGACCAGGGCTCAAACACGGAGCACTCTGTCGTGATCCGGAGTTTAGCGCACTAGGCTACCGCGCCTCCACAAATTTACTGGTACTAGTTTATAATCCTCGGTGGAGGTAGGGTTCTGAAAAAATTGTATTGCTAAACAACACATACACAGAGACCCTGAAACAGACAGAGTTCCTTTCAAATTTTCTCGCCAGTTACGAGGCACTCAAACAGTCCATTGGTCACTCAAATGCACTATATAAGAATCGTTAATTACTGCAAAGACGGGATAATGTAATCTATGGGATACATTAAATAATCTCCTGCAGATTGGTTTATCCGTTGGTGACGTAAATAGAATTCTCCAGTCCGCCAAAATGGAACAACATGCAATGCAGGTTGGTGAACTATGAGTGACTGTGAAGCCTTCAGTTCCGTGTCAGTCTCTCTAAATTTCATCTACATAATACAATGCAACTGTTGTAATTTACAATTCATAAGAGAAATAAAGAGACGTTTGATGGACAGATTTAACGATACCCTGACACAAGATCCAAACCTTCCACAGTTTCTGAACTCTTTCTTTCTTCCCTAATCGCACTTCGTCCGACATGCAACTCGTTCCTATTGAAAACGTTCCTTTCGACTGATTCTTTTCGTAAATGCAGGGAAGCTACCCTTATTATCCAAGCTAAAACACTTGACCGATATGGCTTAAATGTCCGTAATGAAACCTGAAAACATATCAAAGCCTGTCAGCTTATCCTATACATAACATGTAGGTATGTAGTACACTTAAACACACATGGGTATGAAATATTTCGTACTTTTTCCTCTATACCTAAAGAAGACTGGAAGTGGCCATCCAAAATATTATGGTAAATCAAGTTAAATTCTACTTTGTGTCGGCTTTGCTTAACTTGGCGTGTTTGACACCTTTAGCTTAAACGCCAAAAGTATAGAGTAAACTGGCAATGTTATAACTGGCGTTTTGTGCGTCTTGATAAACTGAGTACTCTAGTCTAATTATTATAATGATTCATGGATTTGTCTTCAAGGTTGAACTGCTTTTAGAATTAGAAAGAGCCACTCCTAGAAAAGTTCTCAGAAAGATCTGGGTTCCATACTGCGTGGAGTATCCCAACAGAAAACGAACATGGAGGCAAAAGGTAAGAGTCAATATGGGGTGTGTTTCTTTGGGATGATCTGTTCCAGGATCAGTAGACGGATTCGGCTAATGTGTTTTCATCCTCGTTGCCACCCAATTCAGGTCAGTTGGTTATTGATTTGGGAGGTTACAATTGTGCAATTTGCCACACGCAAGTGATTGCATGGGAGTATATACAAACAGAAATTGTTACCTCTCAAATGAACCATCGCTTGATCTGAATTGGGTGACAACAAGGGTGTAAACACGTTAGCCGAATCTGTCTATGATCCAGAATCACTCGGATCATGGTGCAGCAAAGGAACCGATGAATCCTTGGCCAGAGTGGATTGACTCATCGGCCGGTCAGGTGCAGCACGATCCAGGTGATCTTGGATCATTGAGCCGATCTGGATTATCTCTAAGTAACGTTCCCCGGCTTAGTGAAGAAATAAGCACTAAAAGCATACCGCCAATTTAAACTGCAATTTGCAAACCCTTCATGGAGGGTTTTGTTGCCAAATGTTAGGTAGGAAAGTGCTCTAGCTTAACGAATCCGTTATGAAGATCCTAACCGGAGCTGGAATCCTAACCGCAACACCTTTCACATTCTAAAAATAACTACAGGGGGCTATTGCCTATGCTCTAAGACATTTAAAGATGTAACAGACCTTCAGGCGAATTCATAGCATACATACATATAACATAAGACACCGTCTCCAACATAGGGACATGAACGTATGAACGACTAACTGACAGCGTATAAACCGTCTGGTTGTTATTATATAAATCTCAATTCCATACTGAGTTTTCCAAAGCAGTGTGGTCAATGTTGTAATGTGGCCCCTAAAGGCTCTGGTTTAATTTTTTCTGCAGCTTGTGGAATTTGGTTCGCCCAAGAAACACACAGCAAACCAGCAAACATATGTGAATCCAGCTCTGTTACAAATCAGTGACAAGGTCACCAAACTGGCTGACAAGGTCGACCAACAAGAAGACAAGTCAGTAATGTTAAGCTTGTTTCTAAATCTTTTGCGAAAGTTTTAACCCCACCCTTTGTGCAAATATGCAGAAAGGTGGTATGAATGGAATACTGAAGGAATTTAGAACAAACTGAGATTTTTTTGTTACAGTCTAAAGCCCTGTACTTCCAACATTCCATTGAGTTATTCCACTGAGTTATTTAGTCATATTACAAACGTTTTGCATGAAACTATCCACATTAACAGTAAACTAATGTCGATAGAACATATTATAACAGGATATTTTTGGCAGGTAACGCCGTGTTTGAAACGTGCTAGTCACGTGCTACCAGCAACGGTTCTGATCTAAGAAAGTCCTTGATAGATACGAAGACTAGTGTGAAACTCGCGACCGGTCTTTCCCGTAGCAATCTTATGTGGTCATATAATATGCCCTGTTTGTATTCCCGACATTGAACTGGAACTAGCTTGCAATGGAGGTTCATGCGAGGGAATGTCATTAAAAAGGAGATTAATATAATTTGCATTTGAAAAAACTCCTCGCATTTTTTCAGTTGTCTCAATTGCAAGCTAGTTACAGTGCATTCCGAGAATTCGAATATGGCCTATTCTCTAACTCTGTGCTATGCTTTTTCTTAAGTGCCATATGGAATGCTGCGAACACGGGAGTAACGAAATAACCGGGGTGCTTCTTTTAATTGATAGGTTGCAAAACATTATCCGCCTCCTTGGAAGACTTGATCAAAGACTGACCGAGATGACTTCGAGTGGAAAACCGTTGACCAGCACAGTGGATGGACAGCAGGCGCTCTCCAGAGAACCTCCGGTTTGACTGTTTGTTTGTTCGTTTGTTTGTTTTTCATGTCACAATTCTGAATTCATGAATCATCAGGCGCAACTGATATTGGTAACCCTCAGTAAACGTCCGAAATCAGGAGCCCAGAATTTGAAATTGCTTTTAGCCAGGAAATGAATATAGTCTTCTGGCTTTTCACTGAATCATCAGTAAAATTTGAAAACTTTTCCTCGTATGTTATTTTTTAGATTGTTCCGATTAGCGGGTTCACACAAGAACGCCCGTCCACAGAAACGACACGGAGGCCATCCATGGTAACACGGATCCCTTTTTCGCTTTTTTCTCCTAGATATTATAGTTTTTAATGGGAGGGAGGGATGGTAATGGATGCAGTTTAGGTGATCAACAATTCTTATGCAGAACACTACGTTGTTAATCGTGGGACTAACGCAATCTAAAGTCCGTCGCAATGTCTTTTGAATGACGCAATTCGAGACTGTCATGGAGATTTTAATGGTATTGCCGTGGTAAAGTCGTAATAAAATGATATCACCACGGAAATCGAAACTTTAATTCAAACTAAAACTCAAAACGTAAGTAAACCTAACAGGGCGTGTACTCTGTTGGTTACCATAGCAAACTACACGATAATTGCCTTTTTAGACAAAAAGCAGCTGATGTTTCGAGAGTTATGCTTTTGTGTATTGCTGAGAGTTCAACATTGAACTATTAATGAAGGAAAAAATACCTAAATCTGTGGCTTGCCTTTTTCGTCAGATCAGCGAATGAAACAATGCAACACTGTTCATTCTCTGAACACCACCACCGTGCCAAAAGTTGTTTGATAACATTTCACAAAAAGGGAAACTAATCGGAACAAGACTCGTTAATGAAATTTAGAAGCATCGTTTTGGGTGTAAAGAATTACTGAAGAAGATACTAATAGGACAGACAGAAAGAGTAGATGACTGTAGATTTGGTCTCTTACAATACCCATCGCATTTTACTGATAAGGGAGAAAGGGCCTAAATGTTCTAACTGATTGTTATCTTGGTTGTAGGAGTCCACGGTGTAAACACACAATTTCAAGATTCCAGATGAAACTGCAAATCTGGCGTAAATAAGGCTCTCTCCAAACGTGATGCGATCACCGATCCCAAACGTAACGGAGATCTAATAGAAAGGAGCAGAACCTACCATTTCCGTGCAACGGCCGAGCCAAGACTTCCCATCTTCAATTCCGTAGCGACTTTACAATGCAAGAATTAAAAGAAGCATGTAAAGTTTGACTTCAAATATTTAAGACAGAAGCAAATTTTTTCAGTTCATCCTAAGAAGGGTGTTAATGGTCGTAGACCGACTATTAAAGCTGGAAAAAAATCGATTGCCTAGGGATCCATATCTTTTTGCTTAATTACATTTGGCACTGGTTATCAAAGGATATCGTTTGGTTCAAAGTTTCTTGCAGCACATAAAAAGAATTGAAAAAATTTCATGTCAAAAAATAATTATTTCAAAGATGAAATAAAATGGTGCTAGGTGAATAACGTTGACTCAATGACTTGCAATGTGTGATAATGGGTTTCTTTGTTTAATTATCACAAATAAAAAATATACAAATTAAATTGTAATTGCTGTGTGTTTTGTACTATTTTGTTTTCATCAAACAAAAGCTGAATTACTCGGACCCATGACCCAAGAGGTTCCCGCCCAAAATATACATTTTTAGTTTTATACTGCGCCACCATATTCTGGCAACTTCCAGCTCTTCAAATATTGGGAACAAGATTGTAGTATTGGCATTGTGTTCATTCCATAACCATTAGAGCCCAACAGAACTCCATTAAACCTCAGATTAGAGTACATTCCAAAGATAACTTGCTCGTAACGTTCTTTCCCCGCATATTCTTGCATACGGCTGGCGCGCCTGGAATTTGAATTGACCAATCAGGATTCTAAAGGCGGGGAAAACTGTACTGTCCCGACTTCATGTTAACACTGAGGAAACGCATCGCAGTCGGGCAACTTTTTTCACTGGAGACGGCATTGAATAGTCACGAAAAAGAATTCAGAATTCCAAAAACCATACGATATATAACAGATTGTAAAAAGTGAAATATTTGAAACACTTTGTCTCCAAGCTTTTAATTTGGCGACAAAAATGGGTCGTCCGTGTCCGGCAACTCGTTCGTAGTTCGTCGAATGTCGCCAGGAAGGAAAATAGTTGTCTGGTTCTAAACAAAATATATTGTCCTTTGTCAAATTAAACCAGAATTCTCGAGTTATGTATTAGAAGAAATCAAAACAAACTTTTACACTGTCTTTATCTTGTTAGCTGCGAAATAAAAGACTCTAATCATGTCGTTTCGAAAAAAACAGCTCGAGTTTGATTGTCTTTCGTACGCGTACTGCGCGCGCAGGCATCGTATGCAAGAATTGATTTCAAATCAGCTGCGTTTTGTGGTATTAAAAGCTGTGCAAATTATATGAACATAAGTTTAAATAAGCATGCCGGGCTGGTGATACATTAAATACGAAGATGTATTCTACACTGACCAAACAAAAAGGGTATTTGTGTTGCAGATTATAGTTGCACTTGTAAACAAAAACATCAATATGAAAATCAAAGGGTAAACCGAGAGGCACACTTTGCTTTCTACTCGGGAAAATATCAGAGATCTCGAGATTGCATTAATCTATCCTAATTGTAAAAAAAATGAAGTTATTAATTTCTTTCCTGAATGTGAAACCAAGAACAGGTACATTTTAACAGTTCTTAGCTGTTAGAATAGCAAAGGTTAGTGTAGCCGAGTAACGTTGTGTAAAAGATAATAAATGTAATAAATGGTATAGGAGTCTTTTTGATTGCACACTGTATGGTTGAAAACCATTCTTCAGTAATTTATTTTGTAAAGAAAACACCGAGCTTAAACAGCGAGAGAGAAACTTAGTACATTGAGCGCTAGCTAAGACAGATTGTCAGTGCTTTAGGTGACCATGCACGGCTACCAATGGCTTGGCCAATGGCTTGGCCAATGGCTTAGCCAATGGCTCGTACAAGCAACGAATCGTGAAAGTCCGTAAGTAACGACCTCCGAAAGAAGTAAGCCCACCCCCATCCCCGAAAATAGAGGGACTAAGGTTCAAAAGTATAATTATTTTTCCAATCAATAACCTGAATAACGTACGATGAACTGATGACGATTCAACTAGGGAAGGTATAGCTTATTCCAGGAGGCGTCATGATGCGCACTGGTAAAACAAACCCCGCAAAATTTTTATCAAGTAATAAGAAAGTACTAACAGGACCTTTTCTTCAAATTGAAATTACTAAAATTGACAACTTTGCGTCATTTTTAACGAGAACGCATGAAAAGGAGCGTTTAATCATATTGAAATTCAAAACTCGACCAGAGCAGTTAAATATTTATAAAGCAGACTAACGTAGCAGTGCATCATGAACAGTAAAAATAGTATCTTACATCACGGTCTACATATAAAGTGCCCACCCATGTGCCAGCAACATAAATTTGAACTCGAACAAAGAAGTTCTAAACGATTTATAAGAACTCAGTGTTTTTACGAATTACACCCGCAGCCTTAGAGGAATACAGCCCTGTTCTCATAGATGCTAGATTTGGCCCTTTCTCAAATCTACACACGTGTATTTCACTTGTGGAAGTCTATCGATTTGGACAGTGTTTGGGTTGGAGATCCTGGCCCATATCAACTTTCTTTTCTCTCGTAAGTTCTCGCGCGTTTAGAGA